ACTAGATCAGATTGCTCAGAGCCCCATCCAACCTGGCCTTGAATGTTTCCAGGGATGGGGCCTCCACTACCTCTCTGGGCAACCTGTTCCAGTGTTTTACCACTCTCATTGTAAAAAATTTCTTCCTTTCAGCAAGTTACTGGATGCCCTGGAAATTCTCTCGACTAGAGATGCTGCACCAGGTCCCAGCTCATCTGACTTCACTGACTGGTTGTGCCACAAGCTTCCCGTGCACCTATGGACAAAATCTATGACTTGTTATTTCTAGCTCTGTATCTTACGCAAATAAATCTTTCACTTATTCCAGCCGCCTTCTGGGACAAGGCCGTTTCATAGCTGTTTCTACAAAATACAGCACGGGAAGCCCTTACGTGCACATATAATTCCAAACAATGTTGTCTTTTCCAGGGGCGCTGGTTTTTCTGTTCCCTTCAATGTTATGACCAGAGTAACCTTTTAAATCAGCAGCGAGACTGTGCTGTCGCCTGAATGCTTTGCTTGACTTGTCCTGACTTCAGTGCAGTTTTTCATCTCCATCAAGAAGTGAAGTATAAACAAACAGGAAAAGACTCTGTTTCAAATCAAAACTATTGTATCCTTCTGACCTGTTTAGGCTGACCGCTTCCCGCCAGGAAGCTGAGTCAGGAGCTCAGAGTTACCCTGGCACCATGCAGGGCACTACGAATCCTGGCCATTTTCTTCAGACAGGAGCTGTTTTCAAACAGGTTTGAGGAGACTCTGAAGGACTGGGTGCAGCCCTCAATGCCTGTATGCTAGAAAGAATCTCCTTAAAACAAGCTGAGAGGTGCTTCCCAAACTGATACCCTGCTCCGCCAGATCCAAGCCACCAGTGTGTAGCTTAAGGGAGGAGTTTCTTGCTGCACCTTGGATTGTAGCAAGTGCTTGTCTCTGTAGGATATGCCTTGGTTATGGCTCGCCACGTACAGAACTGAATATCACCTTACAGTTACGATGCATAGTTTTATAAAGGCAGTTCCTGAAAAGCTCAGAAACAATATATAGCTCCTTGCACTTTCCTTCTGTTTGTTTATTTGCTTGTTTGATTCACCTGGGAAGATGCGAGGACATCTGTGCAACTCCTGTTGCTAAAATCCTGTCTTTCAAGTAGACCCCCCTCTCAGGAAAAGCCTTCTCTGAACAGCACGCTGGTTGGTGAGAGCGCATCATTTCTAACTACCCACAGCTCCTGTTCTGATGAAGACATCAGCCCCGTGCCCTGGGGGTTTTTCCTTTAAACCACTGATTCAGCACAGAAGACAGCAGTTTCAGTCTCTCCTAAGAGACTGACGTCCGCAGTCCGCTTTAGAAAGGTGCAACTGTCCTGGGAAGTAGCAATTGGGCCAGACAACAGGTGAAACTCTGCTAAATGTAAAATGAAAGCCTAACTAAAAAAAAAAGCTAAATTTGAGCCCTGGTTTCACCTGTTTCAGTGCAAGTGCTTGTGGTCGCACTTTAAATAGTCTTCTGGTTGACCTCTGTTCTCCTTTTAGAGCGAGAGTCTCTAATTACAGGGAAGGGAAAGCAGTAAAATTAGTGTTAGGCTGTTGTGCAGTCAGTCAGCCACTTGAGCTCTGTTACAGTAGGCTGTTACTTGAGGCTCTGCAGACTTGCTGCAAAGATGTCACGGGTGAGGATTCCAGGTAGGTCTGAAAGCAGGTAGTGAGTCGAGGAGCCACAGGGCAGCCTTGTTAGCCTGCAGCCTCTGAGCTTTTGATGGTGTGGTATCTTTGCAGTCCGGGGACCTCACTGGGGGCTTTGAGCATTTTTCTTCTGTTTGGAGAGATTTTTGGATAGCGCAGCAAAGAAATAGCATTATTGTTTAAACCTTGCTCTGCTCATACTGAAGAGAAATATTGTCCCTCCTGCAGTGTAATGTATCCTGTGGTGATACCATTAAATCACTGTGGAAGGGGCCAGAGGGATTTCAGGAGTCTCTGGTCAACCTGGCTAAGCTGAGATTTGGGGTGCTGCAGTCCCGAGGGGATGGGGAACACAAGCTGGGCAGCAGGAGCAGGGCCAGCCAGGCTTTGCAGAACAGTACAGAGGGACATGTGACTGTCACTACAGAGCCCCGAAGAATATCGGCACCAAACAGTTCTGATAAGAGCACGTTTAGAATTGCAGTGCTGCGTGGTGTGATAGACACTGTCCTAGTACGTGAAGCTCATGTTAAAGCCTGGCCCTGCAACATCAGTGGGAGTTCACTGACCTTCATGAGTGTAATTTTCATCCACTAAAGAGATGAAAGGTCAAACTAGGCATTTCTGGGAAGCTTAGTTTGCAAATGAATACATGGAGTTCAAATGCCAGGCAAGTATGTTCTGCAGGCTGGACTTTGGGAAGTCAGCACCTGGTGACTTGTGATGCCAGAGCTCCAGCCTGAATTTTCCGAGTCAGATGGAAAGGGCATGCACTGCACCCCCAACATGTTTATGCCACACGGCATGACCGGTAGTGATCTGTGGAACTGCAGCGTCTCAGATGTCTGATCCTGTTAGTGAGTAAGTGGAGATGTGACCATAGGCAGCAGGAGGATGAAACTTGGCATCTTTGAAATGACCATCCATCCTGATCTTCACAAAGAACGGCGAGTCATGGACAGAAAATAGCCAAGCAGCCACGGTGCTCCAAGTCACTAAAATATTTGCTTTCTTGTTCAGGCAGGAGAATGCCGTTCTGCCCTCTTTAAGTTGTTCCATGCTCTTCTGCATCCCTGTGCCTGGACACAGGTGTAGCAAGAGACCTTCCAAGACAGCTCAGTCTTACTCGATAACTAGTTGCTTGTAGTGTTGACTGAGGTGATCTAGGTTCTAGAAAATGCTGTTCTCCTTGGACAGCCACAAGGAAACCCAGAGACTGCTGTAAGGCAGAAGCTCTGCCAAAGAGCCGCAGGTTGGATGGCATCTGCAGTGTGGTTCACTTATGCACACACCACCAAAGTTGTCTTGTGGAACAGTCAACACTGAACTTGCATCTTTATATTGTACAAAGTGACAAGTACTGTTCATTCTTTTGTAAATGGAAGGCTTTGGCTAAACTTGTACTTTACTAATCCCTCTTTAATCGCTGATGTGATGATTAGGCGAAAAAGCGTAGATTTTGGAGGGCTGATCACATCTGTTTTTGTTTCTGTTTTATCTCAAACAGCAGAAGACAAACGTGAGTATTGCTAGGCTTTTTATATGCTCGGCTATGTTACTGCCTAGACATGATCATTGGCAGCGACAGCAGTTACATGATCATGGTGATCTTTCAGCAGTTCGCGAAGATGCTCTTTCTCAGCAGTGCCAGCTGTGCCCCTCACTGTTTCATGGGGTGGTTCCAGCTTTGTGGGCTGTTGATCTATGAAGCTGCTACTTGCTAAATATTGTCCTAGCATCCCTGAGCTCCTGCTTAGGAGATAAACTTTTTTTAGTGAAGTTCTTCCCTCTGTGGCAACAAGTGAAACATTTCCCTCGCACCTATTCATACTTTTGTTGGTTTTTTGGGCTTGGTGTGGTTTTTTTTCCTTTTTTCGTTTTCTTTTTTTTTTTTAACAGAGATCCAAACTAAAGTAACTTCTTTTGAATGCATCCTGCTCCTAGTGGATTTGATCCATGACGGGACAGATCCAATGCTTCATCTCCTTTGTTTAGGTCGAAGCCCACCGCATGGTGCCCTCATGTTTGCTGAGGCCTCATGTGCCAGCAGAAAACATTTCTTGCTGAGACATCTGTCATCCCACAGTCCCTAACAGCGGGCAATAATGAGATAATGCAGAAAAATGCATTTTGTTTTCTAAGCAGCATGTTGGAGCCCATTGATGATACAGCAGCTTTAAAACAGCAAGCAACTTCTGTTACTGAAATTCTGTTTTTGTGACATTGCACTGCTGAGAAGTGGATTTAGTGCCAGAATTTTCCCATGTGTTTGTAGCTCAGCACAAGGCCTTTTGCCTCACTGTGTAATAGCAGGGAAAGGAAGCCCCTGTGTTATGCCCCCCCCCCACTAACCCACAGCGAGGACCTTGGAACTGCAGATTCAGGGCTACAGGGATAAACTGTTTTGATCCCTGCAACACCCTGTGGGAAAAAAAATCGCTCGGTTCGTTACTGAAAACCTCTTGAAGATCTGGCACGCTGCTGTCATGCATGCCAGTCCTTTCTGCTTTGGTCCTCATCTGCTGACTGTGTCCTATCTGACACGTCACTGGTGTGGTCCATCTTTCAGCATCAATCCTCACTACGCTTCATGCTGAGCTGCCAACTGCTGGCAAAACGTGCTTGATTAGTGTCCATATGCTGCTATGCAAATATGCGCCCCTGGGAGATGTTGCCAGAAGAGCCCTTGGGTTCTTGTTTTATGGAATCTTGTTGGCACCTTCTTTCTCCTACGTCATAAGGCTCCAGCCAACCTTGTGTGAATGGCGACTTTTGTAGGGCCATATTAACTGGCATCTTTGCAGCATGCTGCACATGATGGGCTGAGAGGGGTCTAGTCCACACAATGGTTCCCTAGCTAGGAGCTGTTCAGCTGCACTGTGATGGCAGGAACTAAGTGCTTGGGCTGCCAGCTCTGTCCATCTGTACCTCTGTCTTTGTCCTGGCTGGATGCCTTATGGGTCTTGGGCTTCCTAGAGCTGCAAGGGCTCTGCCAGTCTTCCCCTCTTTCCCCCAGCGCATGCTCTCGTAAGTGCCCTTCCCAAGGGCTTGCTTCTTTCTGGGCCTTTTGGCACTACTCTTGGGCTGCGGGTTGTACGACCTTTTCTGGTGTGCTGGGGGTATCTAGGTATGTCTCCAGCCCACTATGTGCGGCCCAGACTCTGTATGCTTGTTGTAAATTTTGGAGGTTGCTCAGAGTCTTCCAGGCAGCATGGAGGTGCAGGTGTCCTAAGGAAATGATGGCTGAGCATTAAGCTGACTGCAAGGGGCACCTGCCTGTTAGGGTGGCTGGGAACCAGATGCCTGTGTGACCCTGCACTCTGCTCCTTCTCCTTGCAGAGATGGATGAGGCAATGCGCTCCTTCGCAGAAAAGGTCTTTGCCTCTGAGGTGAAAGACGAGGAGATCAGGCAAGAGATCTCTCCGTTTGATGTAGAAGAGGTCTGCCCCATCTCACGCCAGGAAATGAGAGCGCACATGATGCTTCAGGAGAAGTCTGTCACAGCAGAAAAGCGGTGAGCAGCAACCAGGGCAGTTGGGGAAAGGAGAGGACCATTGTCTGCAAATCCCCAGCCAGAGCTGGAAGAAAGCAGGGGGAACATAAGGTCTGTGGAAACAGCTTACCACACCAATGGAATAAATCCTTGGCAGTTCCAGGGCATCTGTTAGGTATTTCAGGGTTTCCTCTCCAACTGTTCCTGCTGTTGGACAGAAAGACACCCTTGGACTGTTCCCGGGGTGTCAGCACAGCAATGGCCACAGAGCTGTTGGAGAAGGAGACCTGGAGACCTTTCTCTGGAAAGGTGTGACGTCCAAAGACCATGCTTGAAAGTCTGTGCCGACTTTGTGTGCTGTGGCCTCTACTCTTGGCCGTGTGTGTTTAAGGTGCTCAGAAAGCACCAGTTAGATGATTCATGTGGTGCACGGTTGGAACATGGCTGTGGTAAGTGCCCCTGACCCTGCACCTGCCTGTGGCCATGGAGTCAGGATTGTTGGCCTGAGGCTTTCTTCCCTGGCAGGAAGAAGCGCCTGCTCCGCCTGAAGACAATTGCATTGGCAGTCCCTGTGGCTCAGAAGTCTATAACCAGACTGTCCACTATTGATGAGGTCATCTCTACCTCCCCCCTGTACCAGACTGTGCCTGACTTCCAGCGGGTACAGATCACAGGGGATTATGCCTCTGGGGTAGGTACTCGCATGGCTGTCCCCTTCCCCACGCTGACTACCACCTTGTCTAGCCCCTGCCCGTCCCTCAGTAGCGCCCAGTGTCACAGGAGTCTGTACCAGGTGCAGTGGGGATAGTCTGTGTCTTCCAGTCTCATGAGCATCTGGTGGTGCCCTGCTGCATTCCTGGAGGATCTGGAGCTGAATTTCTTAGCAGGAGTCTGTGGGGTGCTGCATGCTTCCCATGGGATTCTCCAGAGAGGGTGGGGGGGGGACACGGGATGCGTGGCAGGGTAGGCTATGCTCATTGATTGCAGCCTGCTCCTGCTTGCTCACAGCTCTAGCTGTCTGAGATCTATGCATGTCACAGAATCCCAGAATGGTTGAGGTTGGCAGGGATCTCTGGAGGTCATCTGGTTCAACCCCCCTGCTCCAGCAGGATCACCTAGAGCCACTTGACCTGGACTGCGATCACATCCTGCGCTAATTCCTCTTCCTCCTCCTCTGCAGCCTTCTATTACATTTGCAGTGCTTCTGAGATACTGCTGGCAGGTTGCTCTCTCCTGGGCTGGAACAGGTTGCTCGGCTTGGAGTTGCATAGTAGAGGAGCATTTAGGGGAAGCTGAAAGTCCCTCCGTGCACAGGCACATTCCTTCCACTGTGACTGCGGCTAGGTGCAAGTGCTGCATGGTATTCTTCCACACTGCTCCAGTCAGACCTCTCTTGACTGCCGAAAACACTTGTCTGTGCAGTAAATCAAAAATTCTTGACACGTTGGGTCAGTGTATGTTGTTGTCCTGCTTCAGTTTCAGCCTAGGCTCCAAAAATAGCTTTTAGTGTTTTGCCGAGGCCTGGCTTCCATTTCAGTGCCAACTACAGTTTGCAGTGAGGAATGTAAGAGGGGATGACAGCTGGAATTCACTGGTTCTAGCATGTGGGGCTTCCCTTTACCATGTCTAGGACTTGCCTATCATCCCTTCTGTGCCCTGCTCAGGCAGAGCGGTGGGAGGGAGGGGATGATAAGGTATGTACCTTGCTGCGAACAAAATTGTCCTCTTTACATCTTGGCGCACCAGTGTCTCTCTCAGGCAGCTAGGTTCGTTGTGTGGTTGCATTCAGCAACAGCCCTCTTGCAGGTGACAGTTGAAGATTTTGAAGTTGTCTGCAAAGGCCTGTACCGTGCCCTGTGCATCCGGGAGAAATACATGCAGCAGTCTGTGCAGAGGTTCCCCAGGACCCCATCTCAGTACCTGCGTGCTATCGAAGGCGAGGTCTGGCAAGCGAGTGACACTGGCCCAGGTACATCTCAGCGCCTGGAGGGTTTTCCTCTCTGGCTTCAGCATGGGGTGGGCAGGAGTCAGAAAAGGGTTGCATAAGTGCTCCACAGGGGAGTCGCTTGCCCAGGGCTCCTCTTCAGGGTCACAGCGGCCAGGCTGCCCCTGCTTTCTGCCTGGGGTGGAGGAGCATGGCAGCCTGTGCTTCACAGTATTCTCCTTTTGGTCCAGTGTTCACACCACCTGTGAAGGATGGAGAGGATCCCTTTGAAACTGGGAATCTTGCTGAGGACCTGGGATACCACGTTCAGATGAAGGATGGGGTAGTTTACATCTATGGAGACAAAGCAGCAGCTGGCAGAAACGAGCCAAAGGACCTGCCCTACCCCAATCTTGAGCACTTCGTTGATGACATGAACTTCCTCTTGGCCCTGATTGCACAGGGACCTGTGTAAGTGCATAACCCAGCACTGCTGGGTGCAGCTGCAGAGGTCCTGCCTCAGTAGGCGGAAGGAGGTCAGGGTAGAGCCAGGGTTGCTCCCTCCTCTTCTTGGGACGAGGGAGGAACCCGCTGATGACATACTTGCAGCCTGCTGGCTACCAAAGTGGCCTTGGCCCTTGTCAGCCATCTTGATTGGGGTCTTAAGCAAAGTCAGCATTTGGGGATTGGAAACATGCCCTGCAGGTATGCTCACACCTGGCCAGGCTTTCCTTCAAAGCTCTGTAGTAGAGCCAGGAGAGGCACCTTAGGGAAGCAGGCCAGACCAGCATGAGCTCCTCCACCTCAGGTGGAAGCTGCATCCCTGTGTTTGATGGGCCATGCCCCTGTGTTGAGGGGTAAGGAGCCCAGTCACTGTTCTGCCCTTTGCTTTCACTAGTAAGACCTACGCTCATCGGCGCCTAAAGTTCCTCTCATCCAAGTTCCAAGTGCATGAAATGCTAAATGAGATGGAGGAGATGAAAGAGCTGAAGAACAACCCCCACCGGGACTTCTACAACTGCCGGAAGGTAAACGGCAAGGCTTACAGCCCTAGTGACTCTGAAGACGAGTTGTCTTGGTGCCTTCCCCTCCCTGAGAACTGGCTATTAGACTCAAGGTCTGTGGCACCTACATGGTTCCTGCTAATGGGATGGTGCTGACTGGGCTGCTCTTGGCCTAGGCCTATTGTGTTCATCTGCTGGGCTGAGCCATGCTCCCCACGTAACTTCGGCTCGCCTAAGGGGTTTGTTACTCTCCCTGTGGTGGTGCCTGAGCATCCCAACTTGAAGCTAGATAGCTGTCCCTCTGTTTTCTCAGGTGGACACGCACATCCATGCTGCAGCCTGCATGAACCAGAAGCATCTTCTGCGATTCATCAAGAAATCATACTGTGTGGATGCTGACCGTGTAGTTTACAACGCCAAGGGCAAACAGCTCACCCTGAAACAGCTTTTCCAGCAGCTCAATCTGCACCCCTATGACCTGACAGTGGATTCCCTGGATGTCCATGCTGTAAGTGGTAGGGCAATTACTGTAAGACCACTCTTGGGTCACTCATCCACCCCTGCAGGCATGGCTTTTCCCCTCCCTGTGTGCCTGTGACATGTTGTGCATATTAGTGTTTGTGGCAGGATGGAGCAGCTCCTGGCTTTCCCATTTTGGCTCGCTGGGATCCATCCCTGCTCAGCTGGTATGCTTGGACCCAGTGTGTGTGTGTAATGTCTGCCCCTGATCCTCCCTACTCCAGGGGCGGCAGACGTTTCAGCGCTTTGACAAGTTCAATGACAAGTACAACCCTGTGGGTGCCAGCGAGCTGCGTGACCTCTACCTGAAGACGGAGAATGCTATTGATGGCGAGTACTTTGCTACCATCATCAAGGTGAGAATGCAGGGGAGGAGAGAGCAGGTAAGCTGTGGTGCTGCTGTGCCCAGGGGCTGGAGGGTCCCCAGGCAACTTCTGTTCTGGTTTGTAGGAGGTTGGCTCTGATCTGGAGGATGCCAAGTACCAGCACGCGGAGCCTCGCCTCTCAATCTATGGGCGATCAGCGGAGGAGTGGCCCAAGCTAGCCAGCTGGTTCAACAGACATCGGGTGTATTCCCCCAACATGAAGTGGATGATCCAAGTACCCAGGATTTAGTATGTGCTGTGGGTCTGAGAGAGCACTGTACCTTACAGTGTACTGTACCTCATTTTTCACCCTGAGGCGTTGTGGGGACAGTGGGCCATGTTGTTCCTCTGCTAGCAGCTAATCCCCGTCTCTGTCCACAGTGATGTGTTCAGGTCTAAGAATTTCCTCCCACACTTTGGGAAGATGCTGGAAAACATCTTTGTTCCTGTGTTTGAGGCAACGGTCAATCCTCGAGCCCACAAAGAGCTGAGTGTCTTTCTACACCATGTGAGTGTTACCCGATGATGTTGTCAGGGTGTGCTGAGCGCTCACATTCCTGTTTGTGCACAAGAAATGGGGTATTGGCCCTGACGTGGAAGGTGTCATCAGTGGGCTTGTGGCCCTACTGCCACATTCTGGGAAAGGTGGGAGGGTGCCCAGAAGCGCTGGGAGGGGTCAGATTCCCTCAGCTGGCTGCTGTGGGGCTGTGAGAAATGCTGCCCACTCACCTCCTGGAGAAGGGGTTTGGTGTGACCTTTATTTCTAGCCCTTGATAGAGCTTGGGGGTTTGTGAGGAGCAAGGTCTGCAACCTTGCCCCCAACTCTGCTGTTGGGTGGGGCCAGGGGACAGGTGACAGCTGGGCCATGGCAAGCAGAAGTGGGGCAGGGTGAGCCAGCCTCCCTGGGCATGATGAGGTGGGGAGCTTTGAGATGCAGCTTTTTTGTTGCCTTGCCAAGCAGATCACTGGCTTCGACAGCGTGGATGATGAATCCAAGCACAGCGGACACATGTTCTGCACTAAAAGTCCAAAGCCAGAGCAGTGGACTTCTGAGAAGAACCCATCCTACACCTACTATGTATACTATATGTATGCCAACATCCTGGTGCTTAACAACCTGCGCAGGTGAGAACCCAGGAACTGCTAAGGGACCTGCGATGGGCTGGCAGAAGGGGGGGCTGCCTCATGAGTTGTCTCAGCTCTTTGATTGTTGGTGTAGAAGTGGGGCCCTCCTTACTCTGCCACTGGTGTAGTTTGGAGCTTCATGTCCGAGCAATTCAAACACTCCTTGGCAGGAAGTGTGATGGACTGGGGTGAAAACTTTGGATTGCAGAGGTGCATCTATTGTGTGCACAGAGGAGAAAAGAGAACAAGGAATGCGTTCCTAGGTCAAGCAGGCAGGGGCAGAGCTGGACCTGAAGTCAGGGAATCTTGCATCGCATGCCCTGCTGCTTTCCTGCTCTGAGTCCCTTCTTCCATGTGCCTAGGCAGCGTGGTATGAACACGTTCCTCTTCCGTCCACACTGTGGGGAAGCCGGGGCCATCACACATCTGCTTGCAGCCTTCATGACAGCAGATAATATCTCCCATGGTCTCAACCTCAAGAAGGTAAGTGGAGTAGTCACACACATGCCAGGCGTGGCAGAGGAAGAGAACATGTTCACAGCTGACCTCCACTGTAGCTGACAGTTAATTGTGCCTCTGCTTTAGACTGACAGACAGCCAGGCTTCAGGCAGATGTTACAGGATTCTCTGGGTTTGTCCAGGTGTGTTTTGGGGGATGTAGCTGAGAACTGTATTCAGACTTCAGGGGTTCAGCCTCACAGACCTATCACTGGATACGTCTGTAATCATTGGAGCCAGCTGAGTTCTGAAATCAGACAGGTTTGAACTCATTTGGCCTCTCGTGCTCCATGTGGGCCCTGGAGGACTGCTAGCTTGCCTCTCTCTTTTCTTGCACACGTGAGCTCCGTGCACCAGGTTTCCTGGCTGGGGCACTAGGCTGATCTGAGGAGTGACGCTGGAGAGGTGACGGGCACAGCAACTTTATCCCTAACCTGGCAACTCTTCTCATCTTTCAGAGCCCGGTGTTGCAGTATCTGTACTTCCTTGCCCAAATTCCCATTGCTATGTCCCCACTCAGCAACAACAGCCTCTTCCTGGAGTATGCAAAGAATCCATTGCCTGACTTCCACCAGAAGGGCCTCATGGTGTCCCTTTCTACAGATGACCCCATGCAGTTTCACTACACCAAGGTACAGCGTGAGCTCGTCACCTCCTGCTGTCTGACCACTGGAGCTGGGACTGGGGTGGGCCTCATTTTTCGGGGACGCCAGCGGCGTTTGCAGAGGGCCCGGCGTGCTGGGCCATCTCTGGGCCAGCCCTTGGAGCAGCATGCCCTGATGGAGGAGTACGCCATTGCCGCCCAGGTCTTCAAGCTCAGCACCTGTGACATGTGTGAAATTGCCAGAAACAGCGTCCTGCAGTGCGGCCTGTCCCACCAGGTAGGCGCCCCTCTGGGGAGGGTGGGCTTGGCCCTGCCCGCAGCGGCCCCTGCC